CCTGGTCCAACAAATGTGCACAACCTTATTTGCTTTTCTTCAATATAATCTTGAGAAATAGAAAAGGATAAGATGCGCTTTTTTCGGTTTTTTACTAGTATGTGGAACTGGACATATTTTATGAGCATGAACAGGTTAAACATTCCATTGGCTTGGAGTTTCATGCGTCTCTTCTAAATTTTTTGTGTGAGAGGAATGAAGCTCTGGGACTTAACAAATGTCCATAGGTAAGCACCGTGAAAGTCCCTTTTCACTTTTACCATCGTGCTCGACATGTTAATGACTGCAGACTGTATTTACATGAATTGGTAGCTGTTATAGCATTGGTAGATCTGATTCAGGTAACTGAGCCACATTTCACTCAATGTTTGTTCGAGTTCTAAACAGATATAGGAGCAGACTTTGCGAGTACAATATCTGATGTATGGGTACAACCAGTTTAACTAGCATAAAATACATAGAGTCTTTTGAAGCACATAACAGATCTTCAGTGTTTCAGACAGAGTTGTGAACTCGAATAAACCTGATTTGATTTTACTATGATCAGCGAATTCTGCGGGAGCCCTCATCACTCCCCAGTCCATGGGACTTGAGTGCATCAGCAATTCATTCTTCATCAGAAAGATATGCGACACAGGGTTCAGCGAGAGAAAAATAAATCGATGGTGTCTAATTTGAACTAGGACACCAAGTTGAAGGAGCATCACATAAGTTAGCTAGATTCGCTGATCTAAGAACAACGATCCAATCATATTAGCAATGTGACCGAGAGCCAACTCATGTCTATCATGTTGCACTAAACTTCGATTCTCTGTGTTAAGAGGTACAAGAAGTGACAAGAAATAATCCTGCAAGAAGAGATTTGCTGCCTCTGGAAAGAAACAAAGATGGCCGGCCTTTCAGTAGGATCGCTCCCTTTGGCTACGAATCATGGAAGCAGCCAATGCAGAGCCTGTCATGTTGCAGGGTCAGTTAGTACAATGCAAAGGTGTGGCAAATCAAGTAAAATGCCTTCCTGTATGCAGTATGCACAACTTAAGATGATTGCTCTATATGATCCCTAGCCAATAGCCATGGATGTATATATGTATAGATGCATATAATTTATGGTGAAATTTTACAGCGCTTGGAAAAAATTAGAGCCATCCATTTGAAAAAATAAGAAGAACCAATGTAGAGGAACTTAAGTTGTAGGCTGAAACCTAAGATATGTAGGCCCGGAACCAAAAATATATGAGGAAATAATTATTTCCAAAATAAATTTAAAGGGCAGAATAGTAATTTCATGTAGCTGTCCCTTTAATCTCCCAGGCGAGCTCTTGTCCATGAGAGCCCGGCCGGTCTGCTCCATGAGCCCATGGCGTCGCCCACGGTGATCCTCGTCACATCGGCCGATCGGTGCGAGCCCTTAGGTTCTCCTCGCGGCGGCCGGCAGGTCCATGGCGGACTCCAAGTCGAACAGCAGCAAGCCGAAGCTGCACCATTGATTGCTTGCTTGCCTTGCTCCTATCGCCGGTGAGAGCAGCGCCAGTCCATTGACTGCTTGCTTTTGCCCTTCCCGGCTTTGCTCTTGTTGCCGGTGAGATAGCAGCACCCAGGCCATTGACTGCTTGTTTTTGCCCCTCCCAGCCTTGCTCCCTTTTCACGTTAGTTAGAGTTAGTGACTTTGACTAAAAGTACTAAAGTAAACTTAATTACAATTATTAAGTATTTTTTTTAATAATCAACGCTTGGCAATATTTTCTTAAAGAGGAACCGATGGTTCCTCCCAAGCACAGTAGCAAAGCTCTAATTTATGGGTCCCAAACAGGGAGTCTTCCTCGTCCAACAAATGTGCACACCAAGATTTGCTTTTCCTCAGTATATTTTGAGGAATAGAAAAAGGATAAAGGAAAAGGAGAAGGAAACAGGAAAAGATATGCTGAAGTTCGTTTTTGACTAGGGCCATGTCTAGATCGCCCGAATCGGCGCCGACCGATTCACTGTAGCTACACTGTAGCTACAGTGTCGTTTTTTTTTCATTTGTTAGTGAATGTCCAATCGTTGACTAATTAGGCTCAAAACGTTCGTCTCGCAAAGTACAACCAAACTGTGCAATTAGTTTTTGATTTCGTCAACATTTAGTACTCCATACCGCAAGTTTAATGTGACGGGGATCTTCTTTTTGCATAGTGTCAAATTTAGAAATTTGGGAAACTAAACATGCCCTAGTATGCAATGGAACTGTTGAATTGGATGTAGTTTATGAGCCTGAACAGGTATTTCGTTCCATTGGCTTGGAGTTTCATGTGTCTCTATTTTTCGGTTGAGAGGAACGAAACTCCCTTTTCAAATGTACCATTCTCGTGCTCGACAGGTTGATGACTGCAGACATCAGACCTGTAGCATAATGGATATACTGACAAGAATTGGAAGCTGTGATGGCATTGGTAGATGATCCGATTCAAGATATGGCCACAAACCACATTTCACTCAATGTTGTTCAAGTTCTAAACTGAAACAGGTGCGCACTTTGCACATACAAGATCTGTAATTTAAATATATGGTACGACCAGTATTACTAGGAGAAAATGCATGAAACAAACACTAGAATAAACAAAATTACAACCCAAACTCAACAAACGCCACGCACTGTCTTTTGAAGCATATAATAGATCTCCAGTGTCTAAGGACAAAGAGCTCTGAACTCAGTACAGAAACTTGGTTTGACCACAATCAGCGCATTCGACGGGAGCCATCATCATTCCCCAGTCCAAGGGACTTCTGTGCATTGGCGATTCCTTCTTCATCTGCAAGATATGCAGCACAAGATTTAGCGAGTGAAAAATAAACTGATGGTGCCAAATTCAAACTATGACACAAGTTGGAGGAGCATCACATAAATGAACTAGATTCGTTGATCTAAGAACAATGATCCAGCCAAATTAGCAAGGATTGATGCTATTGCTATTTTAGTAGACTTTGTCCCTTGAGGTTCGGCGAAGGACATTTATACCATTATCACCCATGAGAGAAGGGATACATGGACTACTAGTTTGAGACTAGCCCTACTCTATTGCCATTGTTTACTAGGAAAAATAGACATCATGCAGGTACTACTACGGGTGGATGATTCTACAAAGAGCAGATATTATAAGGTGCTCTCAGCTTGAGAGGATATGAGGGCTATTATCTGTCCGCAGAGCAAGACATCAGCACCCTACTCTTCATTTGCAAAGATTAAAACATTTTCAGGCAACTAAGTAACTGAAATGACAAATATATAAAAACAAGGGTGAATAAGATGAGAAGACTGAAACCGATGAAGCCTAGTTGCCAACACACGATATGAATTATGATCTTCTATCATCATAACTTACCCCAGAACTGTGTGAAGATCCGGAAGAAAAAGTTTATATTACGGGATACACTGTATGCCATTACAGGAGGGAGAGGTTTGACAAGTGTGTCCACACTAAAAACTCTCTTCAGAAACTGCAAAATATCCAGTTTAATGTCAAATAATTGAGAAAAAAGTGTGCTAATCAAGAACTAAATTTGCTATAGAATAGATCCATTAAAAGAAGTCCAGGTTCGGTGTCCTGAGCCAAATAAAAGAATCATAGGGGATCTAGTGGTAGGATAGGGGACAGAGGACCATGTCATAGAAAGCAGTGGTATGATGTACCGGACAAGTGGCGACCTTGTGCTATCAATCTAGTTTGGTTTCTAGTGCATAAACTGTGTTGAATGACTTTCAGGTCCTTATTCTGTTCAGGGCTTTTGCTCAATCCACGTGTGTAAGAGCACACATGGACTGAGAAGAAATTGAAATTGTTGGGCTTGCGAAAACAGCATTCATGATTTGAGGCTCTGATGGTGGGATGGTGCAAGTAGCAAAGGTGATTGGAAGCTGCTGTAATGAACAGATCAGTATAAACGTGTGGAGTTTAACTGCAATCCATACCCTGCAGTAGTGGTGTGCCCTGGTGCATTACGGGACACTGCTTTTTCATTAACATGTATGGTTACTTCAGCAGCTGTAAATGCTATTATCAAGAATCTAGTGCACATTCTCCATTCATTTGTTACGGTTAGCACCATGGCAGTAAAATCAGCATAATCCTATCCTTCAGCAACTGCAATTTACAAACTGCCAATGCTGTTCTCGGTTACCCGGTACATTTTCTAATTCGTTTTTTGAGCCAATGTAATCCAATATCCAAGAACACACAGAACACCGGTGCATTTCCTACACCCGGGCATTCTGAACTTGGCAGCTGTTCCAGGGACAGGGTAACAATCCCCGAGGGGGCCTAAGGAAGCTAACAATCCGTCGGGCACCACCGCGCGCGCGCGCGCGCGCATGAGCAAGACACCGAGCAGGAGCAGCGGAAATCATTGAGAACCAAAAAAAAAAAAAAAGCGATGGTCGGGTGGGCGTATACGGTACCCTGCTGTTCCGCTGGAAGGAGTAGCGCAGCTCGGGGTCGATCTCGTCCTCCTCGAAGTCGTCGACGGTGAGGTCGAGGTCCGGGCGCCTGCTCCGGGGCACGCTCATGGTGGGCGTCTCCCCGGGGTTGCTGGTGACGCTGACCTTCCCCTCGCGGCTCATCCTTGCCGCGTCCTCGTCCTCCGCGGCCTCCCCCGTCCGCCACGGCGCCGACGACAGCAGCTCCTTCCGCTTCCGCCCCATCCTCGCCGCCTCTCTCAGTCCTCTCCCCTCGTGGCCTGGCTTCGCTTCGCGATTGGTCTGCCTTGGCTTTTGCCTGCCTTCGGGAGGACGGGAGGTGGAAGAAGATGAGATGAGACGATGAGGTTGGCGGCTGGTGGGCCGGGGCGGACGTGGGCTTCAATGGGCTGGGTCATCCGAGATGTGACCTGGTCCAAACGGCCCACTTCTCCTGATATGGCCTTCGTCTTATCCACATGCGCCCGTCTCGTTCTTCCCCTTTGGCCAGCCATCACCACCCCCAGTCCCCCACTCCTCCACCCGCCCGCGCCACCGTCCACCAGCTCGCATGGCGCTCCACGCCGTCTCTCCCGCGGCGGTCTCCTCCCCGCTGCGCGCCCTCTCGCGCAGCCTCCCCCAGCGCCCAGGTCCGCCCCTCCTCCTCCTCCCCCGCTCCGCCTCCCGGATTGCGCGGAGTAGTTTCGGCAATGAGCCGAACACTGGAACGTTATTAGACACTAAATCCTCCAGTTAGGTTATTTGCTTGCCTGCCATTCGCGCTGCACGAACAGAATTCCTACTCGCGTTTGATAATATATGCAGTTCCGTCTGCTTTGGGGATGATGCCGTCGAGTAGTTGGCACTTGTTAAGGTGTTTCTGGGACAATGATGCCATACACTTGTTAAGGTGTTTCTTGTGAAACATGGCGCTCATCAAATTTGTTGTAGACAGTAGTTCTCCCGAAATGTGCTCAGCTGTGGTCTACAGAGGATAGTATTGCACTACTCGATTCTCATGTACTATGGGTGTTCAGTAATTCAGTTAACAGTGTTTGCCGTGAAAATCAATAATGTGGCAAACTCTTTACAGTAGATGTCCTACTTTACAGGCTGTGGTTGTTTACCAAAGCAACCCGTCGTGATTTACTCCTCCACAAACTTTGCGAGACTTCAGACTGGACCAGTGGACTTCGCTGGCAGGCCTCTGGTTCTTGGACGCTCGGACAAAAGGCGAGTGGTTACAGATATAGACATTTATCCCGTATTATTATGGACCATCAGATTAGTCTTCATTAGCTTGTGATTCTCATGTTATCAGAGCAGTTTTGACGCATGCCACTATTGAAGAAATTGAAGCGGAGAAATCCCTCATCGAAGACCAAGCTGTATGTAACAGTGTACTCTGTATTGGGAAGGCACATTTGCCTGGTCAGGTTTTTTACCTCTCGTTTTGACTAGCTGCTGGTATGTGTCTTCAGAAAGAAAAGATGGAGAAGGCAATCGAAACAGTCCAAACTAACTTCAACACTGTGAGGACAGGGCGTTCAAACCCGGCCATGCTTGACCGGATTGAGGTTTGAGGACTCGTCTTTGTTCTTTTTGCTCTTTATGATGAAGTTCTAACTGTTGCATGATCAAATATATTCCCCTGTGTTGAACACACATCTTCACTTTTCCATTCTGCATGCATGTAATGTAACTAACTATTTTGTTTGATTTCCTGCTTAGCTGAAACCGTGTACAATATAGTGTTTGTCATAGCTCAGTAACTGTCGATATAAAATCTTGATCTTATTTTAGCAAAGCAAAATTTTGTGGCTGATACTATAGCGCACAGAGACTAATGGAAACGATTGTACTGTTCTATTCAACTAAGATTATATAAATGTTTTTTACAGGTTGAGTACTACGGAACTCCAGTGAACTTGAAGAGCATTGCACAGATAAGCACTCCAGATGCAACTTCTCTTCTTATTCAACCATATGATAAGTCAAGGTAAGCTTATAGCAATTAACCTTCCCAGTGCAGAGCCACTGTTGAGTTTTTCATCCTATGTAATTAATCACACCCATGTACTGTGCAGCCTCAAGCTTATTGAGAAAACAATAGTTGCTGCAAATCTTGGTGTAACACCAAGCAATGACGGAGAAGTGATACGAGTGACTGTCCCACCATTGACATCTGATCGCAGAAAGGTTTGTGTTTGTAATAAATTCATATGTGCATTACATTTTGTCACTTGTTATGTTGTCAGGAAATCTTTTCATCAACCTTTAGAATGGTAACGCTGTGGAAACCAAAATATATGCAGGTGACCATGCAAATTGCGGATTCATTAAAACCCCAGAATTTACAAGTGCTACCATATATTCCATATTTCTCAAGACTACAGTGTGTTGAAATAATTGCAGAATCCATCACTTATCACTTATATATGTAAAACTGGTTAACAAAGAAATATATTTTGCTTTCGATAATAGAATTGAAGTCATTATGATCATTCTAGTAGGAGTCATTTAGTAACTTGTATCTTTTCTCGAACCGTCTAGTAACTTGTATCTGAAACCACTAGACGCTTATCTACAAAATCTACAGCTAAAACCTATTTTGTTCGTATTGAATGGTTTCTAAATCTTGTGGGGTCACACCAGCTCCTTTACTGATAAATTTGACCAGTCCAATATAGAATTAGTCTGGTGTCCTGGCCCTGGCCTTCAGGCCTGGCTAGGTTTGGAAAAGAAAGGAAAAGAAAGACTCGGTGACCAACTAGGCCTGGCATACAACACAGTAGCCCACATAAATGGCCTACTGTCCATGGTCCGGCATGGATTTTGGTGTTTTGTTCATGCTAGATTAGTATTCAAATGGTTAACGTCTTTTTCTTCGTCAAATAAGTTGTAAACATTTTATGTCTTCGCTGATTCTTAAATCATTAGCACTTTGGTACCCTTCTGAAATTATTGATGTTTCTGCAGGAATTAGCAAAGACAGTAGCTAAATTAGCTGAAGATGGCAAGGTATTACCCCAAAATTTTTTGTTCACCTTTCTCACTATGTTTTCGCTTCCAATATTACCTTTTTATCTTCTTAATTGGACATTCTTTTTTCTAACTGTTCCTAGTTTCTACCCATAAAATATCACTTTGTTATCGTATTCTGTTTGGACTATGATGAATATGGTATCAATGAATTATCTTTTGCAGGTTGCTATAAGGAACATAAGAAGAGATGCAATCAAAGCTTATGATAAACTACAGAAGGTTGCTCTTCTCATTTGTCACTTGTCTATGTGGGCTGTTGTAGCTTTGTAATAAAACTCATAATCTCATATACTGCACTTGTTTATGTAGGAAAAGAAGCTTTCTGAAGATAATGTGAAAGATTTATCAGCTGATCTACAAGTGAGGATGCTTTTTCTGACTTTTCTTCCTGTAGTTGCACATAGATTCCCAAGGATATGTTCATGTCCCTTTGGAAAGATTTACTGTTAGGTCCAGCCGGAGTTTACTTTCTTGTATAAATTCTGCAGAAAGTCACAGATGAGTACATGAAAAAGATCGATTCCATCCAGAAGCAGAAGGAACAGGTACTTTTCGATCTATCTGTTGACCTTTTGTCTAACAAGACGTACTGTTTGCTGGTTCTATGGTCTAATCTGAAGGAAGATAATCGGCATATATCGAATTAAACTTTTGAATAAAATAATTACACATGATGCTGGAACAAGAACTTGCAGCGTTCTTGAGTTAACCGTTAAAGAGTCTCAGAAAGTTAATCAGAACTATCTGAATCTTTTCAGGAGCTGATGAAAATTTAGATCTCAAGCTGAGTATGACTGGTGAGTAACCGCCTCTGTGAAGCATGAACGAACCCCTGCATATGTTCGTGAATTCAGAACGCAGTAATGGTTTTGCGGCCAATTTTTTCTGAAGCAATTTGTTCTGTTCATAGTTGGCAGCTTGGCGCTGTGCCGGGGATGCACGTTTTGGGTCAGGTGCTTTGCTGGAACTTTTGGATGCACACAAGTTAAGACAATGCTGCTGTGTGTGCTTCTCGTTTTTGTAATGTTCGTAAATAGGTTCTCTCGTCACCGTGTTGTCTGACTGCTACATTGTCGATATTTGTCATCGTCTGAATCGAATGTCTGAATTGTTTCTGCCGACTCTCTTGAGTCTGTTGTCAAAACTCTGCCGAGGTTCAAAGCAATTTTGCAGGTCAAAACTCTGCTGAGGCTCAAAGCAAATTTTCAGGGGCATTGCGGTGACGTTGAGTTACTGACAAGTAGGGCCTATGATGTAACGTTATGCTGAGTCACTGACATGTCAGGAACTGAGGATACGATAGGGTCCTCTCGCAATTTTGCACCAGCACGTGTACACATGGCACATTGGAGTTTGGGAACGATCAAGCAGAGAGTACGTATACTTTTATGGGCTTGATGGTCCGTGATGAGGTTGGTCCCGATTGAATTGCGACCCAGAATGTCCTTATCGCCTTTGGTGGGCCGCTGCTTTGGTTTTGACGGACCACTCTTTTCTTTCTCTGCCCTTTGATCTTGTGCGTAAATTATACTGTCTTAAATATCAAATTGCATCGTATTCGTCGACGTCGTGTTCGAAAAATAAAATCATTTCTTTGTCTTTAAATATCAAATTGCATCGTATTCGTCGACGTCGTGTTCGAAAAATAAAATCATTTCTTTGTCTTCTGTCCCCCCGGGACTTCTTTTGTAGTGCAAAATATTCCTCCTCTGTTTCCCCGGACTTTTGTAGCCATAGTACTGCCTTCATTTTCCTTTACAAGGCATATTTCATTTCGTTGGAACGATGTTTTGACCAAAACATTACTCTATTGATATTTTATTGATGCGGTACAAAATTGTAGTTATAGGCAAGTAATTTCCAATAAAAATATAACAATATCAATTTCGTGCAACAAAAGTTATGCATTGGTGGACTAATTGATGGTGAAAGGTTTCTCTTAAGGCATTTTTGGATCCATTTGCGCTACTCCTAATTGTTAGTGGCTAAAATTAGCACTAGTAGATCAACACACCCGCTAATAGTCCAACCAATAGTTCAAAATGAACTACCTAGCTAATAAAAAGTTATCAGTTAGCTTTTTTCTGCTAGCATCTACTAATAGCTATTAGTCCTAATAGAGCCGAACAGACTCTTAATGAAAATGTCTAGTATCTTGTTTGTGATTAGCAGCCTAGACTACTCTAGAGGTGCTGGTTTGTTCCTTCCCTTTACGAAGGTGAGACTCTGGGTCAACGAACGCATGTGCACGGGACGTGGTTAGGTAGAGGAAATGATGTATGGTTAGTTGTTGGTGACGATGATGATAGCAATTTTGTTAGGTCACCACGCGGCATTTATTTGCTACGACCAATGAGACAACAAGGAAAATACGACGGCCGCTTGGAGAAAGGAATTGAACAAACCGTAGTTCCAGTCCAGAGGGGTATTACCTGAAATACTTTGGTTTTAAAGTGCCTGAAGTGTTTGGATGTAATAAATTTTATGGTTTTAAAAGCTACGATATTGCTAAAACTATATGTTCTAAAATGTAGTTTCTTGATACGACGGTTTCTAAATGCTACAACACCCAAACAGGACCTAATCCTTCTAGGTTTAGAAGTTTTTGAAACGCCGCTTTTATTTTTGAAACACAGTATAGGTGTGGATGTCACACACTTACCTCTTTAAATTAGGGTACCATGAATAGGAGCCATGGTGTGTTCTGGACCAAAAAAAAAATAGTGTACCATACATAATCTATCTTTATGAGCACCTCTGAGAGACTAACCACACATATCTTGAAATTGGCAAAATCGTCATGTGCATATCTTCTACAATCACTAAATATGTGGTGTCATTTCTCGTTGCAATAAATTCGGTAAATTATTAGTTTTTTTAGATAATGGCCCCAGGTTCCGGCTGCTACACCTCCTGAAGGTATATGAAGCCATAATCATCGAGCACTTAGGCTCATAGAACATCGAAAAAATCCAGACACAAAGAGACAAAGACACAATATAAATAGAAAAGAACTGAGACTAGTTTACAATTCTATTCCTAAACCTCCATCCAAACTTGGCAAACACCTCCATGATTACAGTCTCCAAAAGTCCACAACCAACCTTTTAAACTCACTCTTTCTTCTTCTGTATGTAGCAAGGACCACCACCTGATCCAATAAGTTGCCCTAAAAATTACTTGCAAAAAGGAGTTTGATTTAACATTCATGAATGTCATACCCAGAGGCGTAACCAGGGGGGGCTAGCTGAGAGCCCCCCCCCAACACACACACAGAGTAAAAAATTGTTAAATATTCCTATAAAGTTTGTTAATTTATAGCACAAAAATGTGACAATTCATCTATTTTTAATCATAATATTGTGAAATTACGACAATTCATCAATTTTTCGTTATGAATATTAACTACACATGTAGAAACACTTAAAAAGTAGTTGAAATATACACTTATATGTGTCATTATATTTGTCCCGCCCCCCTTAATCAAAGTTGCTGGTTCCGCCTCTGGCCATACCGTTTCTATTCAACCAAATTGTCCAACATAGGGCCTCAACACCTAATAAAATTTGGTTTTTGAGCATCGGCGAAACACCATTGAAAAGGAAATTACAAGTTAACGTGCCAAGCCTAGGAGTTACTTCAATTGGACAGATCTCACAGTTAGCCAGTTAGGAATCTATATGAGTAGTATCTATCTAACCAACCGAGGTACCCTCGAGCCTCGTAGTATATCCACCATCTTTTAGTTTTATGGAACAGTCTATATAGATGGATGCAAACACATGAGTGCTAGCTAGCTATCCATTGTTGTGCAAGCAATACTCCACAAAATTTTGTCATGACCAAATTTTATTTTTATTTATTTGAAGCATGCACATCGGCGGAAAGGGTAAGTTGCAGGCCTGCAGGAGCGGCTGTCTTGGCGTTGCTTCCTTGTCACCATGGTGTCTGTCTATCTACTTGGAATCAGTTTCTCTCTCCCTGCAGTCTCCCTAATAACAAAGCTAAGATATATAGCTGCAGTGTAACTGGCCTGACGTCTCTCCCTCCGAAAGCAACGACTTAACTGACCTGACCATGCGTCTGCTTCGCATGTTGGTGAGAAAATTAGGCATCATTTCCTAGCATGCAATCGTTGCTACCTAGCTTTTCTTAATCCACCATCCATTCTCAATTTCTCATGGCGCTGTGTCTAACGTACGTGTGGTGGTTCCTTTCCGGCAATCACAAGGAGTTGTTTCCAAGCACAAGCAAAGACACAAATAAAGATCATTGCAACGTTCTGGTCTTTCAAAAAAAAAAAAAAAGATCATTGCAACAGCAAAAAAAAAAAGGCAAAAATGTCACTTTTGTTCGTCCATGCATTATTTGATATATATGCTTGCTTGCAAGGTATAATCAGTTCCTAAGATTTAATCATGAAACTTGAAAGACCGTACAGTGGTACGCAAAACGCGTTAGGGAGATATGGATATGGAAAATAGAAGCTAATTAATTTTTTTATTAGGCCATATAAAGTATGCACTCAACCATCCATTATTATGGTACGAATTAAGATATAAATCAATTTAACTCTACTACAAAATTTCAATCCAACGAATAGTACATATATAGTAGTATATATCTGTCTTCACTGTGCCGTGCATATCTAGAGCTTCCTTTTGACTGATTCCTCTGTCTTTCTTTTTACCAGTGGTTGCACGGCCTCTCCAATCTTTTTTCCAGTGGAAATCTACAAGAGGCCGACACCTCGACGTTGCTATCGGTATCAACCTAATGACAGCACCTCAGGAGCAAACGAGGAACGAGTGCAGTGCGTGTCTGGCCAGTGGCCACATGCATGGACCATTATTATTCTTTTTTTCAAAAAAGTGAGAGGAATGTACTGTTATTATTATTATTTTAATTGAGAGGAAATGCACTATTATTCGTGCGCTGCATATATGCTCATGGGAAAACGTGTGCTGCTTGAGATTTATTGACCACCTCAGCTGCTGGCCCCACCTCATCATCTAGAGATATGAGTTGTCACTAATGAAAAAAAAGATTATGGAGTTACTAAAAAAGATCAATTCAAACTTATAATCAATGATATATTAAATTGCAACAGTAATCACTGATTTTATTTCTTGCGCAAAAAAAAAAATCACCGATTTTATTTTATTTTATTGCATGATGTCAACTTCCTATTTTTCTTGCTCAAGTCATGAATGCCTTGCAAGTTGCAAATATGTCCCTCGTTACTGCTTGGGTGGATGCTTGGCCACCTCGTCGCTTCGGTCTCCACCATTGCAGGTTGCATGCTTTGCCGTAATGGTCCTTTTTTAAGCGGATGCTTTGGCCGCCGTGGTCGCTTTCTTGTGCGGATGCTTTTGCATGTTGTTGTCGTCTTTGGCTCCTTTGGCTTCCTTGGTGGATCCAACTCTCTACATCTTAGGCTACCAATTTTTTGTCTTGTCAAGGGTTTGGTGGTGGAGACTCTATCCATGCATCCGTTTGTGTTTGTGGGATTTGGTAATTTTAGGACGCGTGGTTGTTTGGTTTTGTTGTCTACTTTTGCATATATACGGAAAAAATATGTCCCCTCCATCCAACTCTCCACCACCATTCCTTGTCAAACGCTATCCATCATCCATAGTTCAAGACGCGTGGTCTTTTTGCATTTGCATATAGGAGTAGTAGACCTTTGACCATTTTTCTCTCCTAGTAGAAATATCTTAGGTGCTAAGGGTTTGACAAACAAACCCATAAGCCCTCAAAGTTGACACAGCTAAGC